AAATCGCGAACTCCAGTTTCACTCTCATTCGCTCTGGGAAAGGAGCAACTTTGCTCTATCACCAAGGAGTAAAGTTGCTGTCCTCTTCCGTGAGTAAAAATCTCCCTTCAGAAAGAGATAGGCACGTCATGCAAATGCGTAAGTTTTGATACATACTGTGTGTCACTTTCCCTCTCGTACAGGCGTTGACCGACCTTTAAATACTAATTACAGCATATGTCAGAGTTTGGACCACCTCATGGTTCCGTGAAGTATTCGGGATACCAATCCTTCATTACCTTATTCGATTATGAAGCTGAGGTATTGTTGCATGGAGTTCATGGGTACTCTCTTTGCACTCTAGACTTCCTACGCAAATGAAACACTTCCTGTTTCAAAAGGGTTCTCAATAGGAATATGAGCTTGTTTATCGTCTGGACTCGATGAATCTGTCTTGAATATGTGGGTAACAAATGATGAAGAGTCCGTGTTTATTGATTCCTATAATGAGACTAGGTGAGACAATATGGCAAGGTACTAAACAATCCTGCGAGGGACGATTCCAGGGAAAGAGGGAAGGGAACTTTTGTGTACAGTGCGAAAAGTGAGACCCTTACCTCCATCTAGTGGACTGGCGAAGAACTTCAAGGTGTTCACTTCGATACGAGCGATGAGGGAGCATTTGGTGAGTAATAAGGGAGTACATTTGATCTAGCTCACATAGTGCTTACGTTTTACTCCCTAAACGCTCGGAATTTTCTAAGAGTGTGGCATTCCACGGCAGTTCATTCCACCTCAAGTGAGGTGATGACCTGTGCTAGATTATCCCAAAATTCAATGAACTTTTAAACTTTAACGTTTCAAGGGACAGTTTGATCTAGCTGATTCTTGACAAAGAGGTTCATGAGTATAGGAGGTTTTTTCACTTCCGCAAGATAGCGTTGTATCCCTATAGAGGGCGCTTATCGTTGACTGAGTGACTGAGGGTACCACTGTAGAATAGTGTAAACTTTCCCACTTTTTCGGGCATTTTGAGAACGCAGGAGTTTCAAAAATAAAACAATAATATTGGAGCACTAACTCAATGCTGCAAACTTAAGTGAAGCACTGTCTTAAACCAATGACGGGACTGGTAACGCGACAAAGTATGACATATGATCATTGCCAAGAGTTACAATGGCAACAACTTCCCTCGCCAACAATGCTTCATACTCTCATTGTTGGTCGTGAGCACTTCGCTAGGGAAGGCATTCAGTAAAAATGATACTCATCGCCAAAATTAAATTAGCCCCTTTGTTGTCAAAATGGTAACAGTTTCTTGCCTATTGACCCAACAGTTATCTGCACCGTGTTTAGAAAGACACCAATAGTTTGAAACTGAGACGCACCGAACGAATTTAGGACTCCCAGTAATGAGATGGTGGGCGGGAGGATTGTTCTTGTCTGAAGAGACATTCCATTTCCCTTTTCTAACAATATCCAGTGAGTTCCATCGCATAGCATTCTAAAGATACGACTTTTGAATTTCAACAGACATGATTTCAATAAAGTATAAAGAGATTCGATTCGTCTTAACCCTTTAAGTGATGTGAACGCGTAAATATGTTATAGTAGGCTGTGCCTTTTGGACTGTGAACGTGTGTGCACGTTTTATAGTTGGCTGCTCCTCAGGACTATGAACACATGTGGGCCAAAGGGTATACATACTACAACTGGTTAGTTCTAGGCTCTATCTTTGATTTATGAACACGTAAGTGCGGTTCTTGAATTTTCAAATGATTATTTTTCAAGTATTTTGCATCGGTAAAGCAAACAGAAATGGAGAGGGTCAATCCACATCACGAACACGTCCTAAAATTAATCTGGCACTACGCGACGTGGAAAATATATTTCTCAATGAAGAATCGGAAGATGAACTTGAACTCGTGTCTGACATTTCCTATGATTAAATGTCGACCAATGACAACTACAAGCTAAGTAGCTAAGAAGGTGACTCGGATTACAGTAATGAATCTGACGTTCATCCAGAGCCCAGTATTAAGCACACTCGAAATGACCTGGATTTTTGCCTCCAATGACCAGCATTTTGATCCTGTTATTCAGCAATATGCTGTGTGCCGACAATGTGCAGCATGCCAACAACGTGCCAAAAGCAATGTTGACAAACATCTGACGTAGTTTAACTTTGAACGAAACAAGAATGTTACATATTTTCATGTTCTTTCAATTTTTTTAGTAATAGAATATCCACATTGTACATCTTCCGTAAAACTAACTCAGTCCATGGATGTCGATAATGACAGCGAGTTCCGCTTCTTAACCTTAAAGTGAGACCCTTTGTTCTAAATCAATAGAAGAATAAGGAAGATTTTGACCGGGATGCGGATAGGCTCGATAGAAAAATCTGACCCGTGCATCGGGCGTGAATCGAGGTTGACGATCTAGTTTCCGGTCGAGTGCGGGTCCTGATGTGCGAGCACACAGCCCGAGAACCATTCATAACGCTATTCTTATCAACTGAAATTTGGCCTTACAGATACATGAAAATGGGACCCATTCTTGGACTTTTGATCCAAGAAGTATCGCCTCTGGTCATAAACTTTCCATCGACTTCTCACTCATGAAAATCCGTTAATCCGTCTAGAAGAAGTTTCCTCGGAATAACACCCCAACAGACACATTACCCTCTCTTGTATTTGGTTGGAAAGAAAGTCTTGCAACACTCTGCGCAAATTTTCAAAATGTTATAACTTTTTTGAAATGCAATTTCAGTCTACAATGTAATGACCATTGTTGTCTATGACATGTTCCCAACGCACGGGTAACTGCTCGATGCCCTTTGCCCAGAACTCTGGCGATTGCGAAGTGAAGAAACGGCCGACATCATTTTCGAGCTGTGCTCGATCGTCGAAGGCCTTGTCCCACAGGTGATTCTTGAGGGCCCGGAACAAGTGATAGTCGGATTGGGCCAAGTCCGGAGAATACGCTGGATGGGGTAAAACTTCCCAGCCCANTGCAGCACGAGCATGGAGGTTTATTCCGATTTCAGATTTTATAACTAATTGATCCGATTCACTGTAGTTTCGGGAAAATAAATAGGAAAAGGAAATAACATGCATCGTAAAACGGTGTTGAACGAGCTCATGTCCTTAAGAAGAATGAGTAGCATGGATCTGAGTGGCGGAGACTAAAACGGGATAACCATGAAGTACATGACTTCGGCTTAATCCATTCAATCTCCAAGGAGAAAGAATATGAAGATCTCATTCTCTACCAAAGGAAGCGAAAAGGGTGAAGCCTCGCAGGGCGAAAAAAGAAAAGGCAAAGGGGATATTCTCCGAGGAGAGAAGAGGAGCGGAATGCCCGAGGTGCAATCGCGTTCAAGGCCCGCTTCCCCGTGTTTCTCTCGCACTTTCCCCGCGGCGGCCGACGATGAGCTCCGAGGCCTTACTCCTCGGCTCCCCATATCCAGTGTGCTCGTCCTTTGTGCTCTTCCATGCGCTCATCCACGGTGTTCATCCGGTGTGCTCGCGCCTTGTATCCATCTATTCTTGCGTTCTCCGCGTTTCTCGAGGTTTTGAACATGGTCTCGTTTCAGGTGAGGTTTTGGCTATGTTAAGGAGTCCCGCACTGATACTTTCCTTCTTTCAATCATAATTAGCAATAATAATCTAGATAATTTCTTCGTTTTCATGATAACTAGCGAGTTCTGTGCTAAATTCGCCGGCAGGTGAGTTTGAGTCGAAATTGACGAAAGGTTGAGGTACAGTTCTCGTTAACCTTGTAAATACGTCGAAAGAGTAAAGATGCTCCTCCCTTGCACTGCGGTAATCCAGATTTGAGTAGGGTGCTCATCTGCATTCGAGTCACGCGCTTCCTCACAATAAAGGCGGAGGGTTTCAAGGTCACGAATGGACCTTCCCACGTGGTGCACTTGAAAAAAAACGAAAATAAATCCCCGCAATGAGAAGATAGTGACATCAAAGACGTGAAATTTGACACACGTGAATTAGTGAAATCACTGCATACTCCATAAATCGCAGGTAAAATAAACATATATTGCGCTTGGTATGGACTAAGTTTTAAATATGATCTGATGCAATCGGAACAATAGAGCTATCTTCTCTATATCGCTTCGTATCTTCACAGTCTATGGTTGAGAGTAAATTCATTCCACATGTATGTGAAACACGTTCAACATGTAAAAATTGCAGAAAGAACTGATTTAAACTTGGAGATGGCAGGTGATTCTGCTTCTCTAGGATAATAATAATAAATATTCTTAAAAGTATTTCCAAAAGGGAAGATTATACATTCAACATGTTGTGTCTGCTCACGAGACAGCTTCCTCGGTAGAGTGTCATCGTGCCAAAGAAGTTGATTTTCAGTTTAATACCGGTTTATAGAGAGAGGTAAGGCTCACCATGCATCCAGGAACCTAATAAATTATAGGTTATTATCTTGATATCCGGGAGGTTTTCTCGGAAAGCTTCAGAACTTCATTTTTGCCGAAATACCTAACTTTATCGGGAAAAAAAGGAATTCTTCATATTTCAACAAAAAAATTGTCATGGAAGACACCAAAACTTGAAAGAGGGTCTCTGGGGTGGGTGATGTCCCAGCGCGAATAGAGAATCTCATAAAAAGTCGTAGTTGCAGAAACTCCGCATTTTGTCTTGGGGAGGGGGGAGTGGGGTTATTAACGCAACTATTTCGCGCCCTCTCTCCCTTCAGAAGTGTCAGAAAGTGCAACCGATGAAAACCATTCCTTGTACTGGCTGCCGAAACGGAACGGATCCAGCCTGACGTCAAATATGATGGAAGCTGGCGGGAGGGAATCGCTTAGGAGCAAGAGAATACAGGATTTGTAAGGGGTAGGGGGAATTGGTTTGTATGGGGGGATATTTGGGAAAGGGGTGTATAAAGGGCGGCGAGTATTTAGGGTAAAGGGAGCATATAGGGAAAAGGAGACTTGGGAGGAAGGGTGCATGTAAGGATAGGGGGTTTTGTATGTGGGGAGAATGGGGTATGTAGGTAATGTGGTATTTAGAGGGAAATGGGCATGTAGGGCATAGGGGGTGTGTAGGGCATGGGTGGTACGCTTGGTATAGGGGGTATGCATGGTGGTGAGGATACATGGTGTATGGAGGTTTCAAAGGTATTGACGAAACACCTGACTCGAAATGAATACATGAATGACGGTATATCTTAAAGATGACTCGGTCCAGAAGTTCTTTAAGAATGCCTCGTTGAGCATAGACACATGTACGTTTTTCGGCCATAAATTGTCTCATTTCGGACATGGATGGATGAAAGAAAGGAAGCCAGGCTTGAAGTGTTACTGCCGTAGCTCCCCATCCCACTCTGTCTAATTTGGCTTGATATGAACCTTCCATATTTTAAGGAAAGAAGGCATAACCATTACCTTTCCTCATGGTAAATGACATTTGTTTTCTTATTTAATGGAAGTGGACACTTCCATTAAATAAAAAAAAAGAGTTTTCTGGCCTCACCGGCAAAACAAATTGGTCAAAATGCGAAGTCCTCACGAAATCGTAGTGCCACACGATAAGTAGGCATCACTGACGTGAGTAGTGGGAGTACCAGAAATTACAACTAGAGAATTTATGTAAGGCACATTGAGGATGCACTCGTGCGCAGCACATAGTGAAGCACTTATGCTCCTGCACTCTCAAGGTGAAAGCCGACAACGACACGAAAGGTTTGCACGAATTATAGAGGTCAAAGTAAAATAAATTTCCAATTTTCTGACCAGCATGCTTAATCCCCATCTTCCTCCATTGATACCAATTTTAAAAGCATTACAACAATTATTTAACTTTGTTTTACATAACATCAATGTGGACTTTGCCTGCTTTCGTAATTTACAGGGGGCCTACCCTCATCGATGACCTGTGAAAGCAGTTTTTGAGAAAAAATCTCATACAACCTGGATTCCATCGCGATGCCTAGAAAGATCCTTGTCCTCTTTATGTTCTTATTGGGGTCCGGAGCGAGAAGGAACGCTTGCCCGACCAAGGACATCCGCCCCTGCACTTGCTCAGACAAGAAATGGTCGGATTTCGTGGAAGACAGTGACCTTACTGTAGATTGCTCCCTTGCCCGGTCGAGTGCGGAAATTTCCTCCGCTCTGATCAATGTCTCTTGGTCGACGAACCACATGTGGTAAGACTCATTTTCCGGTTTTTTGATCATTTTTCCAAATCTGCACGAGAAATATTGTTCTGTATTTTCTGCCGCTCGTGAAGTCACTGGCCGAACAGATGGTTGTTTGCAACTTGTCACCGTTCGTCCTTTTCAAAGTTAATTTGCATTGTTACTCCGCATACGAAGTTGTCACTTGCAGTTGTGGAAATAATTGCTTCAAATTCAGCTAAGAACTAGTCGATGAGACTAAAATTTCTGTAATACGATGGTCAGAGGTGATTGCGTCTGCTAGCATCTCTAATTTTCGATATGACTAAAGGGAATGGCGTATTGTTTCCAGTTTTTAGAGGGATGTATTTAGAGGGACAGTCCACTCACTTTAATGGATCACTCACATAGAGCAGATGAAAGAGGCTCGAGATTCTAAATCTATTTTTGTCATCTTCATTCACAAATGTTCATCCCGATGCAGAGCCATGCACTTGGAATCTACGCCTGGATATCATTGGTCTTACTATAGGAAAAGTAATCCAGGTTAACATGCACGAATTGATCAAGGTTTCATTCTACAAATAAGTTTACGGAACGGAATTTCCCATATGGCAGGATATTTAGGCTGCAAGACAACATGGAGGTGAAGGAGCTACCCGAAAAAGCGTTCGGAAATGCCGCCTTCAAGGTCATACTCTTGAGGAACACCTCGGTGAAGATCGTGTATCCGTCCGCCCTGCTGTCTTCCAAGCGCCTGCTGTCTCGGCTGGCAGTGGAAGACAGCCGACTCAACGGGTTCCCGTTCTACCTCCTCCCCGAGCTGCAGCGGCTGGAGGTGCTCTCCCTCGAGGGCAATTACATCGTGTCTGTCCCAGTGCTTCAGAGTCCCAGCCTGAAGCTGCTCTCGCTTGCAAGGAACGAGATTCTTAGACTTGACGAAGAAGGATGGACGACTCCTATCTTGCGGTCGCTTAACATCAGTAAGCATTTATTTTCAATTGTAATGCTATTTTCTTTGTGTTCGTTCCTCAAGCCCCCCTGTCCTGTTTTCACCTGTCATGAGTTTGTCGAAACCAAAAAACTATGGAAATATTTCTGAATCAACCCTTTCAGGCACTCTTTTAAAATTATAAAACCACCATATCTCTGTTAACCCATGCAAGCATCAGGTCGGCAGGCAGACCGATTGGGGCCTGAATGGATTATGAAAAGGTGATCACATGAAATTTTAATCAAACTTAATTAGATGAGTTAAATTTGACGAGTGCCTTGAGTAGATTTTAAAAAATATGATGGCAGTATTTAAAATCCCCAATATAATTGCCGAAATTGGCGAAAAGTCTGCAGTTGACTATTTCTTCGTGCACATCCGAATTGGACCAGCCTGCAGGCGGCATTTCACAGTTTAAAAAATTACACTAAATAGGGAACTCCTGGGTATAATTATGTTTGATATTGTCCGTGACTAAATATGTACGCATATCACAATGTTACAGGTTACAATCCCCAACTGAATTTTCGGACCACAATCACGAAGAACCTCGGAAGACTTGAGAAATTCGACGGTTCTGGGTTGAATCTGGGACCAATTCTCTCCGGTGGGACCCTGAAGTTCCGCAGCAGGACTCTCAGAGAGATTTGGCTCGACTTCAATAACATTTCCAGCCTGGAGCCGAATGCGATTAGAGGTATCCTGCCTATCCAACTTCCGCATAACTTCCATTTAACGTCGATGACGAGATTATGAGCGAGATTCTGAAAGTGCTAAAGGGTTAAAAGGTTCTAAGCGCTCTAGGTTATTCTGATAGAGGAGAGTGTATAGTACTAGAGCTGGACGAGATTTGAGTGTTTTGGATGAGTGGAGCAGGAAATATCTCAATAAGTTTAAGAAAAGTAAGAGCAATATTATTTCTTAGGTAAAACCTCTCAGGGCACATTTTTGAAGCTCAATTTCCGGAATATTTTTTGGATTCAACTAAACAGAGAACGGAAGAAAGATGAGACTTTGAGTAGATGTACCTGTCGGATTTCTAAGTACATAACCTACTCTTGAAATACAGTGACCCAAACAAGTGGCGCAATGTTTAGAGCTTTGAGACGCTTTTGGCTTTAACATCAGATAAAAGCGAACAATCGGAACAGTTCTTACATCATATGATGTCTGTGGTCTTAAGCTATGCAAAGATGGTATTCTTATATCGCTAGCTCTTCCCATCAGGAAAATGTTGACTGGGCACATTTGGAAATGGAAAACGCCGGGTACAAGCGTTTGACCTCAGCAGTCAAGTTCGGTGGTAAAATCCTGATGATTTGGGACTGGGTGACTGCTAAAGGCGTCGCCTGGATCTGCCGCATCGGTGGAGGCATGGACCCGGAACCGTACACCAGTATCGTAGACAATTACTTTTACGGTCGACTATTGCGAGATGGGACAGGGTGGCTTCGTCATCCAGATAGACAATGATTCCAAGGACACATCTCGCAAGACTCGCCACTGGTTTGAAGTTTAGATTTGGAGGTGAAATGGCCTGCGCAGTCTCCTGAACTAAACTTTAACAAACTCCTATGGTCACTCCTGAAACTGACCCCAAAAGTATCAACGAACTTTGGAATTATTTGGAAAATAATTCAACATGAACGTACCACAAATACAAATTTTCATAATCTTAAAAATATAACTATTAAAAGCTGAAATGTGGAATACTGTACAAGTGATTCGCTCGATACTAATAGTAACGTTTTAGTTGCGAATTTAATCTTAAAGGAAATTTTTTATTAAGAGAATTTGCTACCGAAACTATTTTTGCCGCAATAAGCATCAACATGGAGAAATAAATTACTAATATTTGGTAATCCTGCAGCTCTTGGGGTTCTGATCTTATAATTTTTCCATTTTCAGGGAATTTTTTTGCGCATGTATTCCCGAAAAAGTTTTATTCCAGAAAAAGTTCGCTTTCAAGAAACGGAGAGGGAGAAACTGAAATTGAGCCTCGAATTACCTGTACATATCGATATTTAGCAAATAACTATATTTTCAAGATATTTTCCTTAGTGGATTCTTTTTGGGCAGACATTTTCATCTGAAAAAAATATTCCTTGAATATATATATTTTAAGTTTCATTTCAATGGGGCAAACATATTTTAATAAAACACGATTCAAGAAACATTGACCCTAAAGTGATTCAAGTAGCTCAATACAAAGTTAAAACACTATACAGAAGTACCTCTCGATGTGACCATTTTAGGAAGCTAAAGATTTCCGTTTGTTCGTTTGCGAATGACTTCACATAAAAAGAAGCATCTTCACAGAACAATAAAATATTCCTATGATTCCAGGAGTTTTGTCAAATCAGTCAAAACGGATATTTCAAATGATTTAATAATTATGATAGATAATGGAGCGCTGGAGGCATCATCATAACGAGTTTGTTTGCTCCAAGGGCAGAAAACACATTTTAAATAATTTCGATCTCTCTGTAGCGATGAAGGTTCTTTGTTAAAAACTTGATGAAGGCATTTTGAACCAGCTACAGAAATAAAGTTTGGTCAGTAGAAAATGTCCACTTTTGTAGCTTAACGCATTTCATTATTCAATTCCCTTTTGTATGATTATCCCATAATTACATTTTTAAATCAGACACATTTGTTGGCTCTAATTACTATGCCGGTAAAATTATAAACATACTATTGTACTTTCATCACACGTGCATTCAATTTTTGAACTTACTTCTGCAAACCATGATAAACATATTGTTACATTACAAATACGTTCCAATAAACGTTTTGCAGCCTGTGATACCGAATGGCCAATTTATAAAAAAAGTCAGGTCGAAATGCATCATATGTGATTGACGTTGAGCCGAAATTCGAGAGTCGAGTAATTCCAGACTCGCAGAAAAAGATTCAAGCAACCTAAATAGTACTAAAGAAAGATGAATGTCACCACTTCATAGGATATCTTGGTATCGGCATTGAAAGGTTCAGACAAATGAACTGCATATATTCTCCAATACTCATTTCAGGTCTCACACCAAACACGAAGATTTATCTACGGAACAACAAAATTGACAATCGGCCAGATGGTGTATTCTCACCCATGATGGGAGTCCTCTCACGCGGAGACGGATTCATTGATCTACGATGTGAGATGCAAGACTTCCAACTTTCCGATTTGATTTTCATCTTAAAAGTTAAGGAAACATAATCAGGCAAATCATTGCTGCTTGCAGGGAATCCCATCCAGTGCGATTGCGGGTTATATTGGTTTGCTGTCGTCAAGGGCTTGATGACGAATGTGCGAAATGGCAAATGCGAAAACGGAACTGAACTCGAGAGTTTACATCTGGATTCCTTGAGAAATTGTCGGTTGTGTCCTTACAAATGCATAAGTGCCGAAGAGTTTCACCTTTGCACGCCAGGCACCCTGATTCAGTTGAAAGAGGGTGACTGTCGTCCCGGGGAATTTTGCTGCGAGCCGAGAAGTACCCTAGTGACTGCGGCAACGGAAGCGAGTTTGGTGACGCCAAGACCTTTGTGTCCTTTGGCGAATGGATCTTTGTGCATCGATGAAGCATACGCTGCGCTGTGCGATACGAAAACCTTGTTGTTTCACGCCTGTCCCGTGGAAACTCAAATCTGCTGTCAGATTCATGGAAGTGATGGACAGGTGGCCATGCAAAGTCTGGTTGGAATGCAATCGTGTCCATGAACTCATACGTGTCTTCCTACTGATGCAGCACAACACCAATGCAAACCTGGAACGGAGATTCGGAACTCGTGCAACGAAAATCGAGTGTGCTGTGTCACTTCAACTACCTCCAATGTTCCCTATAAGATTCCCACAGAGGGTTCATTTAAGGCACCTTCTTTGTCACACTGTGAATACAAATGCATCTCCCAAACCAGCTCTCGGTCCTGCGTGCCCGGGACCACGAACAAAATGAGAGTAGAATGCAAGGCAGGCGACATATACTGCTGCCAGGTGAATTGTGACCATTCGTTCGGTCGCTGTATGGCAGCTTACCTTTCCGAGGCGTGCAGGGCCCACGGAGACAGGGACTTCACTGACCTGTTTCGATGCTCGGGGAAACTTCGTTGCTGTGCCCTCAAGACGGCCATCGAGAAGAGGGAATTAGAAGTGGTCTCCAACAGAGGTATCACAATCCCCATTTGTTCTCTTCATAGTTAGTTGCTTTTTCTTGGGAGGAAGGATATAGGAATTGATATTAGGTCATACTTGTTTAAAATTTTCTTTCAGATCACTAAATAAGGTTATTGAATATTTGTTATCGCTGTTGGATAACAAATGTGTTGCATTTATTCATACACGTTTAAGTTATTATTTTAAAAGGTACCTGGGATGAATAGAGGAGTATGAACAAGTATACTGAGAATCTAAAATTAACTGTTCACATGTTATTCTATCCTGTCATTGGTGTATTCAGTATTTATAAATAAAATTGTAACAAATTTGGGAAAACCTGGCTGCATGTATTCATGAAGCCAGAAATCACGAACAGGTTTCGAAAGTAAGTAATATGGGAATGAGAAGTGAAAAAGTTTAAAATAATATATATAGGTCATGGTACAGCTATATGACGAGCCACAATAACTTATTCCAGATAGTGAAAATAGCCTTTCCAAAAAGAAACAGCAGTGAAGATGAGGAAAGGAGGCGTTCACTCGAACGGATCCCTAGTCCCAAAGGAGTCAGGCATTGGCTCCTGTCTTCTTAAAATTGTCTATGCATCTGGCTGGTATATAGAAACGTGTATAACTAATGAAATAGCTATTTTGGAGGGAATCATATGATGAGTTTGAAAGGCTTGATAAGTTGACAATATGCAAAACATGTTATACATCAAGATAAGGTATCATGATACGGGATTGATTGCAATGCATTTTGCTTACCCGATTAATTATGTGGACCGTCGCAACTTGTGCCAAGCGCAGCTACTCTGCGATACATTAGGTCTCATAGAGTACTTTGCATGAAGCCACGGCGATCGGAATTTAGTCATTAGTCTGGGAAACGGGGTCACATCAATGCCAGCAAATCATAACATAACCTTCTGGTCAGTCATGATAGTACATGTGCCATTGTTCCTGGACGCAAAACAATAAGGGTGTCATCAGGAAGGTTCACGATTGCATATCATGGTAGGAATAGGCCATTTCATGCCAAATGACCGAGGGATAATATTCGACCATCTCAGAAAAAAATGGAAAATTTCCAAAGTTAAACTGTCTTACATGAAACTCCAAAATCCAAAATATTTAATTTTTCCGTTGGTACATCATATCGGTTAAATAAAAATCGGTTAAATCGGATAAATATCGGTTTTCAAGCATGTGTGCCCCCTCGGGCGAATTTCATGACTCTCAAACTATGCCAGCTATAAATGCATGGTATAGCTCATATGAAAGGTCTGAAATAGAATCCAATTATTCCCACGAATGACAAGGGTTTTCTGAAACTTGAATTGCATATTCTTTTTTAAAAATGTACTAATTCCTTATAATTTCATTACCCCATTATCTGCTGTGAGTGTCAACGTAACAAAACCAAAATCGCAGCCCTAAGAGTCCACCTCTGGCTCAATTTTATGACTCATGCATAATTTGGATTTTTCCATCCCCACGTGTCGAAAATGAAAGTCGAACATCCTTATGTTCGTGATTTTACCGAACTTCGGCCTCATTTTTTTTACTATGTGGGGGTCCTCATGAAAATATGTATCATATGCCACATGAAGTCACGACAAAAGTACAGATATAGGCAAAGGGCAATTTGAGACAATTTCGAAGCACAGAAATAAAAATATTAATTTTTTTACAAAGATAATTCCAAATGACATGCTAACTTTCTGTTAATGTTACTTATTTTTTTGCATCAACTGCTAAGTGCATGTGACTTTTTGAAATGGTATAGTGATTTATGGGATACCCTGTATATTGGCGCCAATTTACGTGTTTCCTTTTTAATCAGTGCTTCCGACATCGAGTCTGACGAACGAGACATGCTGGATCGAAGGCAGCTCCACAATTTCCAAATCAAGCCTTCGGCGACATTGCTGGAATGCCGTCCTTGTGGATCCGAGTGGTAAGATGCTCTGCGGTGGGGCCCTCATTGAGCGTCAGTTTGTTGTCACCACCGCCTCCTGCTTCTTCTTCCATCGGTACTTTTTTCGTGTTTATGTTTCACGATTGCAAAAACATTGATTGACATTGATGTCAAAATCACTGAAATAATTTATTTACAGTATAAGACAGTATACGATCGGACAGCTGGCGATAAGAGTCTCTGGGAGTCTGGTACGTCACCGCATCGCTACGGACTTCCCGCACCGAAAATTTCGAGAAGAAACGTTCGAAAATGACTTGGGGATGATTATCCTTGAGAAATCAGTGAAGGCGGAGGAAGAGGCATGCCTGTTGTGCACTCAAGATGCCTATAATGTTCTGGAGTTCTCTGAGTGTAGGCTCATCAGTCACTTCGAAGGTGAGGCAACTGTTGCTACCGTCATGCCACGTGGGGGTGACGGGGTGAAGTGAAGAGTTCTGCGTTGCAGTTCCAGGGAGAGTGGTGATAGAGCCCATGGAGTATGCGGCGTCGATTGTAGATCCAAGCGTGTGCCAAGAGAAGATTCTCGAGGGGAGCGGTCTGCCTTCCAATTCCATGTGTGTCGCCTTCTCCTCTGCCTGGTGCGGGGAGTCCGGCGCCTCCCTCATCTGCAAAGACGCCAGCTCTGGGTTCTATAGGGTAAGTGCCTCTAAAATCCTCTCAGGCTCTAGCGTTCCTGTAATTAACCGAAATGTGGGGATTTTCCAGCTGGCAGGCCTCTTGTCCCTCCCGATTCAGGAATGCCAGCCGGCGGACGTGCCCGGCGTCTTCGCCAACGCCACTTCCTCGCTCTCGACCAGCTTCTACGAGACGACTTTCACGGCCAGTGTTTTCCTCTCGAAGAGCCCCACGGATGGGAAGGAAATTCCCGAGACAAGTGAGTACGTACGGATGCCTACGGGTCCATAATTCTTGTAAAGGTAGTCTGGTTGCAGCCTTTTTCATCAGCCAGAATATTTCTATGATCATTATTCCACGTTTCCTTTGGTACCTTTGGATTTCAAGTGATTTCAAGCACTACTTTTATACTGTACACTGCTTTGCCGAGAATCATGTATATATACCTGGTACATGAACGCCCATGGAACATACTACTTCAGTTTCAAGATGAACATTCTATATTAACAATCTATCCATTATGCTTTGAACGCTATGAACGGTTTTCCGGCACAAAGAATTGAATTTCAAGTTCAACCTTGCTAAGTGGAATACAGATATATAAAAACGCTTTTCATTCCAGCCATTATTCCGATTTGGATCTGGAACAAGTGAGGAAGCCATTGAGGTGGAGATTCCGCTATTAGCAACTATGTTGCCGAATCCCCCCTCCCTCCTTTCAGTTTTTCGGACGGAGAGAGCCTTTCTACAATGTTGTACCAGCTTGAAGTCTCTACATGAGTCATTTGTATCGCTCTGTCATATCACAGAATGCGGCTCAAAAGTACCATTTTGGCACATTATGATGTTTCGAAAATTCCCCGTAAAAGATAGCCGTCATCTATCGACCCACGAGTCATGAATTTATTAACCTCAGAGTTGATGTAGTCATAAAACCTTCGCAATGTCGAAGTGTTCAGGTCAAGGGTGAGTATGGAGGCACTCTTTCGATAGGAAGAGAACTTCTCCCCTTGCATATAACAGATCCGGCTTTTAAGCATTGAGCATTGTCATGCTAGGAAATCCATGCATGTCCCAGCTTATACATGAGCACAATGCCTGGTAATTGTAATTAATACGAATTTTGTTGCTGCTTCATAACTCTAATAATTAATTATTGAATTAATTATTTGATGCTGTGCTTATTCTGACTTGCAGGCGAAGACGAGATCGGGTGCGGACAACTCTTGAGTATCAAACACGGATTTTTTAATGTATCCTGTTTTAGCGGAACAGAGAGGTGAGGAAGCTGGCAGGAGAAGTACTACTAAGTTCAAGTTGCATCCTTTTGTCTCCATTAAATTTTTCCCATAACTTTTGCAGGATAGGTACCGGCAGTGGACTCGAAGAGATTGAGGGCAGCAAAGGATCGGATTGCATCCGAGACGGGAAGTACGTGCTTGGAAGCACCGTGACGTACAAGTGCGACCAGTTTTACATATTGAGGGGGTCGAGCTTTAGGACCTGCAGAAAGATCGAACAATGGACAGGTCCCATTCCGTTCTGCGAGGCCGGTCTGTCCATTTTTTTACTCGATCATGCGATTCAATCCGATTTTCTAAATGCCTTTCTCGTTTACGTAGAATGCGGCAGGAAGGTGCAGCAGGTGAAGCTGTCAGCAGGGGGAAAGCCAGCACCGAAGGGGGAGTGGCCGTGGCAGGCAGCCATCTACGATGGGGAGAAAAGGGAACTCATCTGCGGAGGAGCGCTCATCGCAGAGAGATGGGTGCTGACGGCGGCGCATTGCATTACCGTTGACGGGACGACAAGGGCGCGGGATGCAAGGAACTTCGTCGTGTATCTGGGGAAATACCATCGGAATGACTCCTTGGACAATGAATACGTGCAGCGGAGAGTGGTAATTTAAAGCTAATCCAGCAGTTCGGGCATTGCGGCCCTTACGAAAAGTCCTATGAGAAATCTATATATTAATACTTTTCCAATAGGAAATCCATAGATCTTTCCTATAGGTGTTTGAAACACGAAAAACCTACAGGATCCATAGGGGGTCCTTTAGGACTCCCCTTTAGGATTCGTAGAGGTTTTTTGGGTTTCAAAACCCTGGGATTACAACTTCGATTACTACTAAATAGGATGACTAATGAGGTCAATATTGGGCTGATATTGCCGCAGCTATTTGCTCTAAATTCATTGCCGAGTAGGGGTTTACCCATGCTTGGGATACCAATACTCAGTACTAGTACTGTCTAAACTAGTATTACCATTTGCTCATGCATATGTCTTCCATGGATGAGCAAGAGCCATAGGATAATACAAGGTTTACCTTTCCCTGAATGCATCGATCAGAGTGGATACAAGGAGATTGAAGTTATTTTCGTATGGGGTTCTCATAGGAAATATAATCTTGTTTATGGTCTGAGTTCCATAGTTCTGTCTTGAATATGGTGATTGCTAATTAGGAAGTGTCCAAGTTTATTCATAGCTATAATGACACAGGACAGGCGTACGGGAAGGTACATTTACAAAGCACTCCTGTGAGAGATGATTCCATGGGTAGAGGGATGGGCACTTTTGCGTACTGTGCGAAATGTGAGACCCAAACCTCTATCTAGTGGTCTGGAGGATATTTTCAACATTTCTCTAAAACATGCCTACGTGCAACTTAGGCACATTGGATCATCGCATCAGTCCAATATTGAATCGACCATGCAAAGGCAATATTGGTAAGCAAATGCAGGGTGTCCACTAAGTGGCTACCTAAGAACACCTTTTTATTATAGACCCTGAAGTAGCCATTTTGCTAAACATATGTAGACTTACAACTTACTGACCTCGGAATATTGTCAGATCTCTTCTCCTACTAATTTGACACGTTCAAGCATTAACTTCTCACACCTGGTGTTTCATTATTTTTTTCATTTAGATGGAGATTAAATTCAGACAAAGATTCGTGGAAAATTTTGCTTTTCGACCCTAGTGCAAAAAAATTATTGCAGTTATCACCGTATTTATTGTTTTGGGAATTCAAAATAATACAAATTAGTCATTTACTAGACAAATTCGCTTGATGTGTCGACCGCCGATTACCAGATATTTCTGAGCCAATTGTTGACTCCCTCCAGGAGAATTCCATCACTTTTCCGGCACATGACACTCGAGATATTCTCTTTCAAGTTATCCCGATCTATGGGCTCCTTCTGAACAGTGCATTTTTAGTAGCCCCAGAGAACAAAAAAGTAAAAGGTCAACATCCGGATATCGTTGAGGCCATTTGCCCTAGCTGACAATTCGGATTGCTTCACTGAATGCTTTCGGGATTCCTTTAAGACTCTTTCGCGATTGGAATGACATATTGCATAAACATGTTAAGCTATAGAATGAAAATATTATTCGCATGTGAGACGATCATACCGTTAATAGTATTTTACACGATCAGAACAATATGTCCTTGCCCCCTGCTCAATATTCGACTATGCGGTGCAGTCATTGAAAAGGGAAATGAGGTTATTCAATAACGTGGCGGCTGCTGTACATTTTGGACTAATTTTTAATCGTTTTAATTCGATTAGGCACTCTTTCCGTCCTAAAATGTTTGCAATGGCTTCAGTCATTATTGGAAATCATTGTTCCTGCCATGTTCTAATTTCGAGGTCAATCATTATAAGTTTTTAAATGCCCATCATGAAAGTATTTGGTACCGAAGATTCCTGTGAAACGAGAGCACTTCAATTGGAATGATTCACGGCTGCAATTCAAGAGACTGGAATTCATTGCATGTTAAACTGCTCCAATTCTGTAAGTCTTATGGGGGTTCCTACCCCTTCTGAAAATTAAGCTAGGGCGAAGGTACTGCACACATTTCCCATGGCGGCTTCTCGCCCCTCTTTCCCCTCAGGGCTCACTCCGACGGAAAGCATTTCTCAAAAATCCATCTACCTCCATTTCTTCCATCTCCCTTCACTTTCCGCGTTCTGTATTCATCGCCTCCAGACATCAGCGCGATCATACCGTTTCAAAATATTACGTCGTCCTCCGAATTAAAAAAAATACATATTTAGCCTATTTGGTGCATGTCACGCCAATTCTCTCCCATTGTTCTCCTACTTGAGATGTGCTCCTTGAGGCACACTAATGAGATTTTAAAGATGACTTAAAATAACATATTAAAACGCCACATCAAAGTGCAGATAACATACTCTGAGGTCGTAGTAGCAGGCTGCTCTTCCCATATCAGATTTGTATAGGAAGTGACAGGCCCGCGATGGTCATAAACTTCGTCTCCATTTCTTAATAGTCTAAAATGATATTCTCTCCCTCATTCCTCGACATTGAGTTCCTTCAACATGGTGATGGCTCCTGTTCCCTAATTTTTAGGAACTGATATCACTCAATGCTGGGGAATATGGTTTCTTTTCTGGAAGGGGGGGGGGGGGACTCCATCATTAGAGGAATCCTTACCCGCTCATGGCCACAATGCAACAGCCTCATGATCCCTTCCTACCACTCTTCCTCCTATCAAATAATCTTAACTTTTAGCTTCCCCTGACTTCATTTCTTCACTGAATACCACCATTCTCCTCCTCCAGACATAATCGCTTCAGGCACGTCCTACATTTCATCGATGAGGTCTAGCAATTTCGCACAGGGACAGGAAAGGGAACGAGGGAATTGTCAGTTCTATGTCAACGGGAAATAAAGGGGGCAAGAATTCTACATTTAGGTAATAGGAATAGAATAAATAGATCGTATCGTTCGTTATTCAGTACGTCTTCACGCATGGCGTTTTCCAGTCAACTTGATTCTGAACCCGAGTGCTTGGAAGGAAGAACCTCCTTCATAGACGTAATGAGGCGAGGGTGAGCATTCCCTCGAAAGGAATTCAAATCCAGACAGTGAAGGGGAGGCAATGAGAAATCAAACAGCAAAGAAACTCTTTCCCAATTCCTTTTTCCCATGGAAAGAACGGCTTCATTCAGAATGACCTCTCTTCTCTGACCTGTCTGTGATAATGCGAAAGGAAGTTTACGGTATAACATGCATAAAAGAACATCCTCTAAGAAAGAGATTAATACTGCCTCAAAGATGGCTCATAGGATAGAGAGGGATACCAAGTGAAACTTCCTCGCGAGAGTCTGAACATTTTTGTTTTGATGCGAACAGGGTCTATCGATTGTCAGATATCCCCCCATTTACAAGAAATAGATTTTGGCGTCTCTTTCAGTACGACGGCCAACATGAACCTATAAGCAGAAACATTCAATTATTCAGTGCCTGATACTACGGTTTCTGCTTCAATTTCCGCGCTGAATTATGTTTGCAGTCGGGTTTTCTCATATTTGCCCATCGAAGGGACCGGACAGGGTTAATACTCAAAGAGAACATGACTAATTGCTGCGGTTTCTCCCACGCATGGATTTCAGTACATTTGTAGATGATGAATGGTGGTCTCACTATAGAAACCTTTGGAATCTTTCTCGATGAAATAAGGGCCATGATTGGGCCAGAAAAACGGAGCTGTTTTCATCGTGGAAAGCTGTTTGGCTCACTAACAAATGATTCCCCGAAGCCTGTCCCATTGAATTAACTTCTCTCTATTCAAATCAGAGGTAAAGAGATAGCTTAGGTTCTCTATCCGCTCCCATTGCTGCTGTGCTGCAGGCACAGGTGTGTCAATGTGACGATATCGCAGGAACATTCTTGAATTAACTGTACATGACACACTATAGAGTTAACATTCCCGATTATATGCCGCGGGGCATACCCAACCGTTTACATGGTCATCGAATACAGAAGTCATTTCCATGCCATGGAAGGAAAGGGTCCTCACTGTCTGGTTTCTATGTATTCCCCCTCCCCTGTCATGACTTGGATTCCTCGAGGGGGAATGCTCACCCGCTGCTCTTCACATCCACGGAGGCACTCGCCACAACAACCCCGGGTGATCGGCTAATAGGGAACAAGAAGGAGTTGGGTCTCATTTAGAAGGCCTATACCTCAATTGCTTGGGACACGTTAGATACCTGGCTTTAGAGAATGTAACCAGATTGTTATAATGGGACTCTATGGCGCAAAGGTTTTTCCTCGATTTGCATGAAAACGCGCTGAATTCAGGAAAAGCCACTTGGTGTATTGGCTCGTTGTGAAAATCTCTTTTGATTGATTTCGTGATTTCGCTATTGATTTTGCAGTTTTTGAGATACTGGTACTAAGTACTGACTAGTACTTGATAATGAACTTGCTACTTCACTCAATTGAAGGAGCTTCAAGTCAATAATTCATTGATATCTTGTTTTCTGGGGTGAGAGGAAGTACTTTTGCAAGAGAGCGCTTCTCAATTTTCACGTTGGAAATTAAGGGTAGAGCTTACCCTTAAGGAAAAATACAATATCTTTTTTATTCCTTCAGGTGTCTCAGATATTTATGCAAGAATTTAGTTTCCAGAACTTCGACTCGGACATCGCTCTCCTGAAACTGAACGTTCCAGCGTTGTTAACCTCACAAGTTCAGTTAGTTTGTCTCCCGACCCGGTTCGACGACTCCAAGCTCGAGAACGGAACGAGAGGATGGGTGAGACATCACCATTCCACTGCATGAACAGGGAGGCTCTCTCATGAAATAATGATGGTTGCCTGGAGTCGGGCTAATTTTATTGAAGCCTGTCTATTTTAATATGACCAGGCTATTTTCATAGAGAACATTGCTTTTTTCCGATATTTGGTGGCAGGTGGCTGGCTGGGGTCTGAATAGTTTTGACCAGCGAGACGCTACCTTAACCCAAGTGGAGCTCCCGGTAATATTAAACAAAGATTGCAGTCGGGAAACAACCAGTGTGTCTGGTGATCGCCCAGTGACGCTCAACTCGAACATGTTCTGTGCCGGGCATGATAAGGACACTCCTGCAGAAGGTGAGATACCATCCCGAAGCCACAGAGTAACCATTCAAGATTGCTCTGGATCATGCGCTGTTCCACTTGATTGCTAAACGAATCATCTTTTGCAGTTAATAACATATGATACTTCAGATACGCTAGCGATGTCCCATAGCGACGGCAAACCTTTCTGGAAAATGACTCCCTATTTAGGCATTGCAGCAATCTAAAGGCTAATGTCTACATAAGCTTTTGCTTTGAATAAGAATAGCTTCTCCGATCTAGTTTATAACTATTTCAGCATGTAGCGCACACGGTATTAGTTTTTGTAAAGGGGTGGGCATCTAATTAACTATAAATTTATGTCTACCAGTCATATCTGTTCTCGTTATCAAGCATTATCAGCCAGCTACCTCAGAAAGAAACCATATTGATATGCCTTAAAATTAAAGAAAAATGAGTTCATAGGGAATGATTCTACTAATAAATGGAATTCCATATGATTATGTTCTTGCTGTACAGTTAAAGCTCATTGGTGCGGTTCAATAACTAATAAATCCTTCCCCACAAGAATAGGGAAGGCTTTTCTGATCAACTGTACCTGAAAATCCCCATCCATCGCAAATCCCTTCGAGTGACTGCTTTGAAATCGGAATTGTTGTACAGAATACCAAACAGTGTGCCGCGGGGACTCGGGCAGTCCCATGGTCTTTCCTTCACACTCATCGCAGGAGAGCCGCTGGTCCGTGGAAGGGATCGTCAGCCACTTCTTCAGCAAGGAGGAATGCTCAACCAGGCATCCCGGACAGTACAGTGTTTTCACAAGAGTCAATAGGTGCGTGCTTCCCTTCTCGTGTTTCTTTATGCTCATTCAGAAAGTTACTTTCAATATATTTTTCTCTCTTAATCATCAGGTTCGTTTCGTGGATCGAAGAGACAATATGGAAGAACACCCGATGAAGACTTATGATGACCCTCGTTGATGAATCCAGCCATTCCTCCCTCCTCGTTTACAGGCTGCTGATCAGCGCTATGCCGTTTGTTGTAAGATTTTAAGGTTTTATTGGCATCATGCGCAGCCCACAAGCTGCATACATCTGATCAGATTTGGGGACGTTGTTGGCTCTTGATGGCAGAATATGAACAAGAGAGCCACTTGTCATGAACCTCCTCAGCAATTAGTGGAAAATTAGTGGATTCAGAAGATGTATATTTGAAGGGTTTCATTCTAGCATTGATTTTCATCAATTTAGTGTTGTTTTGCTTTTGTCACTACCTAAGCAGCGTGTTTGCGTCAATATTTTGAACAATTTATGCCAATTTTTTCGTCGAAATTGAGGTTAATTTTTATTTAAGTAAACCTGCTTTTAAGAAAAATATGGGATACTCAGAAGAGGACACAGGTACTCAGATACTCATTATATTGGTTAGACGAGACCAAAATGAACCTTACGAAGTCGGATGTGGATTAGATATGGAAACAGCGTGGCATGACGGAGAGGCCTTGGAATTATGGTGGAGGCAACCTGATGTTTTTGGACTGCATGACGGCCAAGGGATTCGGATATGGATGTCAAGTACTCTATAAGGAGGATATTTGCCAATATGTATAAAAGCATTCTTGAGAAAGAATTGCTCTGAACAATTGAGATAGACCGGCTCGAAATAAGAGAGGTGGTGTTTCAGCCGGACAGTGATCCGAGACACACCTCCCGGGTGACTCAGAAGTGCTTCCACGACACCAAATCGACGTCATAGAATGGCCAGCAGTCACCAGAGAATTACCCGATGGAACATTTGCGCCAAGACTTGAAGCAAAGACTAGCTTTGTACGGTAATGAGCCAATCAGCATCCACAAGTTGTGGCGGTGGGTCACAACCGAGTGGGACGCCATTCCCGTTCAAACATGCTTGGACTTGATCGAGAGAGTGTTTAGGAGTGTATTAGCAGGGTTAAAAGCCGAAGGCGAACACACAGAGTATAGATACATTCGAAATTCTGTATGTCCGAGTGTCCAAAACTGTGTCAATTACATTGTTGACTTGAAATAGCTGCACCTCAGCCAATAGGAGGCCAATTGACACGCGACTAGCACCAATCGAAAGCCAGGAAGTAGGAGGATGATTGTCTGAAATTTAAGTTAAATTGAACACGTCATACTCGAGTTATGAGTCATCAACTGGAACTGTGTCAAACATTGACAGTTTTGTCCCGAATTGTATATAGGTTTTACCAGTTTCTCTTCACTCCCCCTTCCTAAGAAGTCACCTGAAAAATTAAACTATCCTCCCTCTATCTTCGAGCCATACTTTTCAGGAGACCCCTTGGACAGGGTTACTTCTAAAGACCGATACTTTTAAAAAAGGAGAAATTTCCTATGTTATTTGGGGAAAGATCGGCTACCGTTTGGAAGGTGCCTCGGAATAATTTCATTCGTATCAGGAATTGATCCGCTTCATCGACTACAGTGCGTCATCTGGCGTCAGGAGTGCGAAACTTTGGGTCAAGCCATGGTCAGATGGATACCATAGATATGCTGAAGAAAAACATGTATTTAACGTTCAACGAACGTCCTTCAAATGCAGTATGTTCGAGGTCAAACGGCACCTGAACTGAACGCCCAAAAGGTGCTCATCTGGGGACATTCGACGTCCAAAGAACCTCATTGAAAAAACTTTGAACGTCGTCGAGAGTGTTCATGTGTTACTCGGGCACTGTCATTTGTATTAAACCTGCTGGTCCCATTTCACCCGTGAATATCTTTGGCACCCGATCATGTGAATGGAGAATTTTGTCAACAAAGGTGAAGAAAAAGAATTTAGGAAAATCCTAGAACCCGTACAATAATCCAACACCGAGCATTCCACGGCACGTCAATAGAGAATGGTGCCCATAAAACAAAATAAATCCTTAACATGGGATTAAAATTCGAAAGCAACATGCTATGCGGAGCGCACCTTCCAGCATAACTAGACTGTTTCCCCATGCAATCTACAACACTCTGTCTCAGTGTCGGCGCACAGGCGAGATACCGCAACCACAGGGAATTAATCACCCAAATGCAGGAGAGTCTCATTCTCAGAAACATCAACGGCTAGCATGGTACGTTAACTCATACGCATGGAGCAAGTAAGGGAACATGCAGCAAACAATTTAGTCATGATTTGGAAATCACATTTTATTTTATTGGAAGCTCCCGGCTCGCATAACTTATCCGATACATACTTAAACATGTTTGCTACGCGTATATACCAAAGCGACTGCAATAAGGGAAAACAATACAACCTTTGAAGAACTCCGACGCTCGTCTGCTTACTTGCGTCGCTCGTGAGAGCTTTCAAAGGAGTGAAGGTGAGGTAAGCAGCGACGAAAGAGCACGTCATTATGCAAATGTGAAATTCTCCAATGCGAGAGATAGACCCCCAGGAGGACACTGGTGATGGACTTCTTTGAAGAGCCCTTATGAAAACAAGTGACGGCAACAGAAGAATCGCCCCGTATTTCATCACATACGCTAGTATTCCTTGGATTTTCGACAGCTGGCCCGGACGCACTGCAGTGAGCGATGCCAGCGTTCCCTTTTCGAGTACGAGGACAAATCTCGTCTCCTCATAAATCCGAAAGATGGCGAGACGAGAATGAACCTCCGATTTTCCGTGAAAGTTGCCTTCCCTCCCTTTCCTGATGTCGATTTGCAAATTCCAATTCATAAAGGCACATCCTTGGATGATGAAAAATAATTCTGTCGAAGCCCCAAGTTCATATTTGAAGCGGTTGGCCTGTAGAGCTGCCACACACGCACAAAAATACATTCGTCGCACGGCCTATCTAGCGCTCAGGATCGCGCACGCTATATGATTAATCTTGTGGCCTCGGTTATTTCGTGCACGAGGTTCTCCGATTTGAATTAGTTAGCCGAGCGCTGCAGATGAGACCATAGCGAGCGTTACCCCCTTCGGGCAAACACATTCTCTAATCGAAAAAGCGACATTTGCATTTCAGTCACGGGTCACAGATCCTTCTTTGTTTCCCATCTGCATTGGTATGCCGTGATGATATTCTCCCCCCTCGTACACAAGGTGTGTCTTTTGAAGGTCATGGAGAGGATACATCGTATTTCCCCATACCTCAAGGAAAGGCCTCCGTGGCCGATACGTGGAAACTCGAAGGCCTCAGCCATTTTCCATGTCCTGCAACTTCTGGAAAATATAATACTTCTGAAAAACTGTGAGTTTTTTCCCCACGTTATCTGAAAATGATTCCTGAAGCTTTGAGATGCTCCGCATCTCGGTTTCATCTTTGCTATATGTTTTTGAATACGCCTTTACGACATGAAATTGTAACCATACACTTTGAAAGATATATGTAGATGCAGAGTTTAGAGAAAAAGTTATTTTTCAAAATGTGGTCAAAATGTTAGCTTTCCCCTGGAAGCATATTTGTTGGGGGGAGTTGGTTTTCAATAACTTTTTTTGTCTTAGCGAATCGGGAGAAATAGGAAGGTGAAATTTGCCACGCGCACATATAATGTTACGTGAGCTCAAGGAGAAGTCTTCTTTTGCGCTGCACCCTCTCACGGCACAACTTTTGATTGAGTTAGCTTTCCATAGTTTTGCTTCAGCGAAATGGCCAACCGTACAAGGTTGAAATTAATTATACATGGTCAGCATTTACTTCTTCGAGCAAAAATTACAGTAAAAACATTATTTTTAAGATAAAACTCCTTATTGCACTTTCTTCGGATTGTATATGCGATTTCCATGACTGTTGCTCCTATGAAACAGAGGGAGAGATAAAGAATTGAAACTTGGCGCACAAATACCTGTTGGATTGCTCAGTACAAAATAAAGCTTATTTTTCATATGCACCCCTCAGGGTGGATTGTGGGAGGGAAGCATTTCAGGATTTATCTTTCGCTTTGCATATGGGAGAATATATGGATATATGACGTTAGGTATACAATAAATCATTTGAGCAATGTTTTCAATACAAATCTCGGTTTCGTAATACGTCCCTAATGGCTTATATTTTGAGAGGGACGCACTTTGAAAAGGTACTTAGCAATATTGAGAAGGGCAATTAATAAAAGCTGAAAGTCGGTATACAAGTTATTTTGAGTCCTGAATTCAATGGATTTCATTACTTTCGAGGTTAGCTCTCCAACGAATTTTTTTTTCTCGGGAGCTTATTTCTAGATAAATTTCACTCTAACAACGCTGTGGCACATGGAAAGCCAAAACATGGAAAATAGCTTTTCCTAGCGAAAACATTTTAAAATAAACCCTACCTGCGAGCAGGGGAAGTGCTTATAGCTATTTATGCCCTGGCAAGAAAAATATAATTGTAGAATTTTGTAGTCAAGAATTCAGATAATTTCTTTTAAATTTAAATATGCATCGCCTTAGGTTACATATTTTCAAGAATTTTGGAAAATAATTTGTGATGGTCATTTTGGCTCCATCCAAAAGATGAATCTTGAACCTTAAAAGAGGATATATGAGAAGCTGAAAATTTATGTATAAGTGCTTCCCTCGATACTAATATTACCGTAGTTACTTTTTTAGTTGTGAGGTTAACTACTAAGTGCATGAAAGGCGTTATGGACCACACAAGAATGGTTTTGAAATGGTTGGCTCTCATAATTCAATAGTCTTTCAGAGAACAAGAATACATTTCAACTCCTGAAAAACTATGAAATTAACTATTAAAATAAACCCAGTAGTGTGAATAATTGAAAATACATTCTTCCTAATCAGAAGTTTTGAAAACTCAGTTATATTCTGACAAGGAAAAAACACTTCCCAAAAGGGCTCAACATTACGAAAATGTTTCCCCTACCAACACTCTCCTAATAAGAGAAAATATCAAGATTAAATTTTCAAAAATTTATATTCTGTACTGAATGGAAGCCACTAGATCTTCTAACACTCTCTCCTGCCAAGGACTTGGAGACTGGTCCAGTTTCACCAATCATCAGAAAGGACTCTCCTGTAAATTAAACAGATGTTAACCCTTCATATTACAAAATTACTGGCATCTGTAGTGGTGAAGGTAACACTTAGGTCAAGTTGATGAATAATTTTGAGCTCTGCCAAGAGTCTGTGGTGAACAAAGCGTGGCTTTTCATGGCAGCAATAATGCAATATCATTCCTGCGAGATAATTGCATATTAAACTTTTGGAATA